ATTTAAATGTAGCAGTAGGTGTCAACTTGTTACATGTGTGTTTATGAATGAATAGACTTATACAGAAAAACCAGGGTCATTTAAATGCCCAGTTCCAGTCTGACACATAACCACAGTCGCTCCATTCGTTTGGAGGTATATTCAATACATTAATGCTTACTAAACAGGAACACAGTTACAAATTTGAGTTATTTAAGAATAACCAGTCGATTCCACATGTAGTCACAATGTAGAAACAAAGATATTACCATTGGTTTATATTTGCATAAAGACATAGATTCTTCTTTTATTCAGCACAAATGTATATAAATACAGGTGCCAGTGCCAGTGAATATAAAGCCTGATGAGATGTTAGGTGCATTAAACTCCAGAACTAAAATGAATCAAGTGACCAAGTGCCAAAGACTGTAGTTCCTTTAATGGTTCTACAAACAAGTCAGTCCTCATAGTCTGCCTGCCCACAGATGACAATCTACAGTGGTCCTGAGAGGTCAAACACACTGCAATTTCAGTTGAGTTGCATTGTGTTTTATTTAACTTAAGTGTTTTGGGGGAGATTATAAAGTGATGGAACAGCTGTGGAAGGGGCAGGGTAGCAGTAAATAGCTAATGGTGAATATTTATCTACAGTATTATATGAATATCATTAAACAGCACATTACTAGCATCATTTTATTCCTCACAACACTGATGAACCCTTTGCTTCTTGCATCTCTTAGTGCAGTTCTTTGCATACTTTGGTTTCTAGCACTCCCACAGCTGTTTTGTCACCTTAATGTCTCCCCAAAAAACACTCTATTTTGTGTTGCCTAATGTGTTGCCGGGTTTCTTTTTTGGTTATTTGTTTGTTTGTTTGTTTTTTACTTCTATTGTGTTTTGTCTGCTGCTGATCACTTTGTATTAATTAAGTAATAAAAACAACAAAAGGAGCTTAAAATTATGGAAATTTATTTTTTTTAATGGACATGTGAATTCATAAAGAAAATTCTTTTGCATGTTTGAAATATTAATTATGCCAAAAGGTTCGTTCCCATTGGCATAATTAAGATTTATATAGTTCATTTACTATATAAATGTGTGTTGGGCAGCTTTTTTCATTGTAGTAAATGCTGTTTATTGGTAATGTGCTTAGAAAATTTAGACTGTAGCTGACTCTCACAGTTTCCCTTAAGAGCTTTTGATTTTCAAACGTTAGCTTGGAAATGGAGAAAGTTAAAAAGAGCAGCTAATAGTTTGTTTTCTTACCTGTTTACCTTTGCTCACTTATGAGATTTTTCATGATTGTGTTTAAAGGAAAATGGAAAACCCTCCAGATTACTCACCTGTGGTGATGCTTTAATATCTTAAAAAACAAC